ACATTTAAAAATACGCTAGAAGTTTTTTTTTTAAATGTATTTTTTTCTCTCTCTAATTAACAGCATTAACTTACAATGAAAGACGTCTTCCCTCAGGTAGATTGAATGTTTTCCTGCCTTGCTGGATGTTGGGCGCATGATCAATAAGTTGTTTGCATTGGCCCAAACCGATTTGGCAAAATCAGAACTCAGACGGTGAAGGGAACTGCCGTCAGCGCGAGACCCGCTCGCTGTGAAGCGGGAGCCGGCAAAGGATTCCGCTTGGTCTTAAAGCCTTCCCGATACGGGTTCTTCACAAATAAAACAATGATTTGCGCAAAAAGAATGATTAATTATCAGCAATGAAGTAAATTGTACCAATATAGAAATCACAAGTGTATATAATTTAGGAGGTGAAAATACTGTGAAATTACAAATGGCATGAAATTTGAAAGCTAACAACTGATGAAACGTCAGTCAATAAAGCATTTTTAACAATGGCACTTAAAGTTTTGAACTAAAAATAAATAAAAAGAGTGGGGCTGCTATGAGTGCAGGCAGTCTAGGGACAGCATCCATATTTCAACCCAGTGGCATGACAACACCGGCACTCGCGGCCAAAAATACAGACCGGCCCACCGGGAATCCTCCCGGTGCTCCCGATTAGCCAGTCCGGGCCTGCAAACCTGTATGCATTTTGTGCAATGTAAAGTCAATGGGTTCAAAATATCTTAGGTGTGTGTGTATTATACAAAAAAAAAAAAAAAAAAACAGGTTTGGAGCAACATGAAGGTGAGTAAATTATGACAGAATTTCCATTTTTGGGTGAAATTTCCCTTAAAGGATAACAATTATATTCACTTTAATCATGGCAGTGGAATATAAATATCCAAATGATCTTCATGAAGATCTCTTGATGAGTGTTCTGATTTATGAATCCATGTTTTTCCACGGTTTAGGGAGCAGAAAACCACCATTGCTCTCCAGCCTGTGGAGAAACTGAATGCTGGTCAGGAACCTCTTACTGAGATCAAGGCCTCAAAGACTGATGTAAATGGACAGCGGTTGTGCTCTCAGGATACTGAGCAGGTGCCGAATGAAACCAAGTCTGAACTACAGGTGGCAATTTCTCATTCTCAAATATTTTACCATTGAATTGCATTTCTCACAACATTCACATCTATGCATTATAAATCAGTAGTTCTCAACTGGTAGCTCACTTCTGATAGGGTTGTGGACACTGTTACCACCCAATTGACATATTTCCCACCTAATATTCAGAGGGATTTAGATCCTGTCGGCATTCGGAAAGGAATATACCCCTATCTTTTGTTATTAATGTCAAAGGGTGTGCATACAGTTTAGAAAATAAACACTGTAGATAGACAAGTCAACAAATTGAACAATTATATACATTTCAATACATTTGAACGTTGATACAAATTAATATTTTAATTAAAATCATTATTTCAATGAGTGCCTTTGCTTTAGTTTTATGTTTATTTGTTGGCAATTGATGACAAATGTAAAACCACTGATTTAAACCGTTGCTCAGCGTTACAGATTTTTCAAGAGGGAAACAAGTACAGAAAGTTGGTAGATAGTACAAATAAGTGGAATAAGGACAATTTTACAAATATATACAATAGTGTTCAAAAGTTTGGGGGTCAGTACGTTTTTTTTTTTTTTTTTAAGAAATTAATACTTTTACTCAACAAGAACACAATAAATTGATCAAAAGTCAGAATAAAGACATTTATCATGTTGCAGAAGATTTCCGTTTAAAGGCACAATATGTAATTTTCGCCACTGGAGGGCGCGTATTCAAAATAAACAAATAGACAAAGGCGTAACTTAGTTTGAGACGCTGTGACTAAGTGTGAAATTATGGGAGTTGTCGTCTTCATCCCCACAGCCGATGCAATCCGACAGACTCCGGCAGAAATCATGTTCATGGATGAGCTAATGATTTATTAACGTAGTAGAATGAAGCAGGGTAAGGCTGCGAGCGTGACACGCGGCTTGAAAGCAGCGGAGCTTTTATTATGCCACACTTTAGCGCTTCCGCTCCTTCCGGTCGTGCGTATGTGGGAAAAAAAGCAGTGCTGTTTTATCATACTACATTTGAAGGTCGTCACCGGTCTATTAATACGCACAACATATTAAAGCGTCTTTGGTGTTTCCATGTTTTCTACAAAACCGGAAATCGAGGGGTTATGACGTCATTGGCAGGAGACACAATGACACTATAGACACGATCCGTGTCACTAGTTAAAATTGCTTATTTCTCTGGATTTAAACATTCTTCGAAACATTTGGGATAATGTAAGTACACAAGTCAGCAAAATATATAACACTGTTCTAGTGGTTTTTGGATATTTTAATAAAAAAAATCTTACATATTGTGCCTTTAAATTTATGCTGTTCTTTTGAACTTCTTATTAATCAGAAAATCCTGAAGAAATGTTTTCAATATTGATAAAAAAGAAGAAATGTTTACTTTATTTTCTGTGCACCAAATCAGCATATTATAATGATTTCTGAAGGATCATGTGACACTGAAGGCTGGTGTAAAATTTGTGAAAATGCACAATATTATTTACTTTTTATAATTTTTGATGAAATAAATGCAGTCTTTGTAAGCATAAAAGACTTCTCTAAAACATAAAAAATTGTAGTGTGCATACATTGATACTTAATTCTCATGCTGCCGCATGTAGGAAATCACACTTGATTATATCATGAACCTCCACCATGTGAAAACCCTTGTAACATGTGAGAACATGCCTGAGATAATCTGTGACCGCTGTGCTGTTTTGCGTACCCAGAGGATGAGAGAGGTGATAAATGACAAGGACATGGAGATCAAGAAACTAAAAGAAGAAGGAAGTGCCATCCAGCAGCATGCATCACTCCTGGGGCTGCAGCTTGAGGAGGCCAAATTAGAGCTTCAGGTGCCCTGAGCTGTTGCACACATTGGGGTGTTGATTGTTCAGTGTGTTTTAGGCCATGACATCCACCTTATTTTATTAACTTACAAAAATGCGCACCCGTCTTGAATGTCCGAGGCTTCAAGTTTCATCCGTTTCCATTTATTTTTTCGCCGTACAAAACAGCTCGTTATTCTGCTTGATATTGCAAAGTGATGTTTCTTATTGTATAATATTAATGTATTATTGTAACTAGTAACACACTGGTTTGTAGTGCAAATAGTTCTACGGTTTACTGCACTTTGTTGTTCTTCTTCTAGTTATTAACCTATAGAGAAGTCTCACACATTCACAGATAATAGCTTTGTTCCGCAATGCAATATGTGGATAAACATTTGTTCTTTTCAGACACTGAAGGAGAGTTATGAGAAGACAAAGGAGACTGAACATAATCATCCTACAACAGCAAAAAGAATATCCCAACTGGCTAAGAAAGTGGATTCTTTGAGGAAACTGAGGCGAATTCCGTTTTCTTTTTCCAAATATGTATACTTGCTTCTACTTCTGACTTGAATTAGACAATGTTTCTGATGTAAAATGATCGATTTGAACCTCAGGGAGAGTAATCTGTGCTCCACTGATGAAGATCACCTTTTAGAGTCCATCACCATCATCATGAACCGCAGGATCTCAATGTCGTTGATTTCAGAGAGGCTGGAGCTTGCGTGGAAAGCTTATGATCGAACCTTGGAGAATCTAAGAGGCTGTCAAACCGTGAGTACAATTTACATTCTTCTGATCGATGAATGAATGGAATACGTTTACATACAGATGAATGTCATCTCTGTGGCTCAAAAAACTATGGAGAGAACTGTTCTTGTTAGAAGTTGAAGCCTCCCAACTGTATTACAGTTCTGCATTCCCTGCTGTCTTCTGTTGACTGTGGCTTTGCTTATAAGATTTCTTGTGTGTGTTCTGTCAGATGGCGGAAGTAGAATCACTGGTGAACAGCAGGAATGAGGCCCGTGGTGCTCTCTTATCTGCTGCAGACGACTTCCTGCAGGAGGTGGACAAGCTGCCAATCGGTGACCGCTTGGACAAGTTGAAGGTATGTAGTAAAGGAAGATACAAATGAGAATTATTTTAGTATTATTAATATACTGTTACAGTATTTTTGTATTTTCAGCCTTGTTTTAATTTAAGGTTAAGTAATTATGTTGTTATTTAGTCATTTATATATAGTTTTTTTTAGCTGTATTTTTATTTGAGTTTTAGTAATTTAAGTATTTCAACTTTTTCAGTTTAAGATAAGTTGAAATTCTCCATTTAATATTTTTATGTATTATTTTAGTTTTATTTCAATTTGCAGTTGTTTTTTAGTTAACAACACTTATACAAACACGCATATCACTTTCTGAATTTCTCACAGAGATTGTTTTGTGCTGAATTTAGTCAGATTAGGCCTCTGTAAAGTATCAGATACTTCTTGAATCAGCCTGTCAGAGACTGTGCTCAGTTCTGGACTCTCTTGTATTTTCTAACTAATAGAGTTGTGAAAAGCCCATTAATTTAAAAATAAATTTAAAAAATACATAGTATGTGAAGATTCACCTGGCAGCTTTTCATTACTGCATTTGGAACTGTGTCGTCTGCATGTATAGGAAGTTGCATCCTCACTGACTGCAATATTTAGCTCTCTTATGCTGGCGGAGCAGACCGAAGAGTGCTCTTTTGAGAAGTTCTGCGAGTGGAAGGGGCACAAACAACAGAAAACCAAAAATGTGCGAAAAACTACAGATGAAGCTCTCCTTGCTCTTAGCTGCTGGGCAGCCAAGCTTAGCAAGGTACGTTTGCTAATGTAAACTTGATCAAATTCATGTCTCCTTTTGTTGGTAGGTAACTATTTGGCTTTTAATTTAAATGGACAGACATGGTTTATAATATCAAGAGACTTTATTTACTGCTGTATAAGATGAAGCCTTTGTTTCAGTTTTCATGTTTGATGGAGAAAACGTCATTGACCAGAGAAGATGTTGCTGAAGGTGTGGATGAGATCCTGATGAATGCGGACAATGCCTTGTGTGAAGAACTCAATACTGAATTCTCTGTAAGTGTTTCTGTCCTGATCTACACATTTTCTACACTATGTCTGCATTTCAGTGTGCGTTCTCTCTCTTCTGAGCAAGGGCACAAACCCCCCAGGTCTTCTTCAGAGGGACTTTACTCGGTGCCATTTTTTTGGGTAAAACAAAGCACACAATTTTTGAATTGAAAAAAAATTCCCACTTTTTTCCTCCCGCTTATAGGAACAAGACGATCAAGAGAGGAACATTGTGTTTAATGCCTCTCATAAAGCCATGCAGGACATCCAGAGATAACAGAGTTTGTTAGAGGCAATCAGGCAAAACTACGAACTCAACACAAAGGTAAAAGAGATTTGCTCTTTGGATTCATTTTGAAAAAATGGTTCTATGGAGAGATGATACATAAATATATATATACACTACATGTACCATTCAAATGTTTCGGTTGTGTCAGTAAGAGGTTTTTTTTCATGCTTTTCATTGAAAAGTCTCTTATGCTCACCAAGGCCACATTTTATTTGATCACAAATACAGTAAATCAGGTGCATTGTATAATAACTGTTTGCTCTTTTAATAGATTTTAAAATATGATTTATTCTTGTGTCACACGATCCTTCAGAAACAATTCTAATATGCTGATTTTGGTGCTCGAGTAACATTTCCTATTATTATTAATGTTGAAAACCGTTCTGCAGCTTAACATTTTTTGTGGACATTGTCATTTTTCTTTATATTTTGAAGTTGAAAATAACAGCATTTTTTGAAGTTGAAAATAACAACATTTATTTGAAATGTTTTGTAACATCATAAGTGAGTTTATTGTCAGCTTTGACCAATTTATACATACTTGCTGAATAGAAGTAATCATTTCTTTTAAAAAAATTAAATATAATCTCACTCTCCCCAAGCTTTTTAACTGTAGTGTATACAATGCATGATTATTTTCATTATCGATTTTATTTATTACTTTAATTCAATTCAAGTGTATTTGTATAGCTCTTTTCATGATGCAAATCGTTGCAAAGCAGCTTTACAGAAAATTAAAGATTCTACATTATAGTTTATTATTCTTTCAGTTAATCATTATAGCATGATTTGGTAGTTTTGTATGTTGTCTGAGGGTTGGCATCATCTGAGGTCCTCTGGGGGGTTGGCATCATCTCTTCTCAGGTGTTCGGTCATCTCAGGTCTTTGTAAGGGCTGGATCCAGACTGACGCTTGTGTATGTACTAAGCTGTTCCAACTAAGCAAAAAATGATGTGTTCAACCCAAGCAAAAGAATGAAATTTGTGCATTTGATCAGATGTAACTGAAGTACAAGGTTATGAGATACAATATGTGAATGCTTGGCTAAAGAGATGTCTTTAATCTAGATTTAAACAGATTCAAACTTTAACAGCCATCATTTTTTTAACTGCAGTTTAAGCAGGAAATCCAGCAGTGGCAGAGCGGCCCTCCTAAAGCGGACGAGCTGTTTGCAGTGAAGAAGCGCATCAGGAGCCTGAGATCTCAGCTGCGCTGGAAACTGGTGGAAGTCAGCTGTCTGGAGGAGGTGAGAACAGCCCTACCTAATGTGCTCTGAGAAACCGCATGATGGGGCCGCAGTGCTGGGAGCTCAGATGGACGGGGTCAAAATATTGATTTATTGGTTTGATTTGTTTATTAATTATTGTATGCAGCACTAGTTATGCGTATCTGTTTATTGATTAACTTTGCCTGCTGTGTAACTGGGATAGCTGGTTGCGTTCACTGGAAATGGTCAGTTTATCAGTTTGAGTTTCCCGCAGGCAGAAGAACTTTCTTCTTAAAGATTCTTAAGAAGAAGGAGGAGATCGCCGAGACGAGAAATGCTCTCTTTCAAGAAATCCGCCATGAGAAGAAGCAATATGTATGTTTGGATGTGTATAAAGATCTTTCATATTCTTAGATACTGGGCTTAGATTCTAGCACAGACACAGTTAAGAATGGCAGTACAATACATTATTTATCTATGCAGGAGGTATGTACTATATATTTATTTATTTATGTATTTAGTCATTTAGCAGACGCTTTTATCCAAAGCGACTTACAAATGAGGACAACAGAAGCAATCAATTGTAGTATTAAAACAACTAAAAACAGATCCAAATAAATACTACTTATACACATTTTAAAAATAAAGAAATTAAATAAAAATGACAAATGCATACAAAAAAATGTCAAAGCTTGACATTTAAATGAAAAACAAAAAATAAAGCTAAAAACAATTCAAAATATTAAAGAACAAAGGGTATAAGCGTATAATAATGATTCTAACATAACACTAAATTTAAATAAATTTAAATAAAAAAATTTAAAATGTACAATTTTTTTTAACATAACACTAAGCCAAACACCAAAAAAAACTAAAAAACCTACATATATGTATATGTACAACCATACACGCATACATATATATATATATATATATATATATATACACATTTATAAATTCAATATATATATTATTTCATTTCCATGTAGTTTGTTGAAGTATTAAAATAACTCAAATTAAATAAAACTAAAACTTAATAAAAGACCTATACAGACATAATAAATTCAGACATAATTTAACTAAAATTAAAATAAATAACAAATACAAATAATACAAATCAAACGACAGTAGTTTATCAGTTTATTATTATAGTTTATTATAATAATGTGTTTATTTATACCATAGAACAGTGGTTTGCAATGGGATAGAAAGGCCAATGCTGAATTGTGTTAAAATGTATAATTAAAAAATGAATGCGCATTAGTTTTGTGAATTTGTTTTGTTGAAGGTTAAATTACTTAACATTTGTGACCCTGGACCACAAAACCAGTCATAAGGGTCAAGATTTATACATCAGCAGAAAGCTGAATAAATACGCTTTCCATTGATGTATGGTTTGTTAGGATACTATTTGAAAATCTGGAATCTGAGAATGCAAAAAAATCTAAATATTGAGAAAATCGCCTTTAAAGCAATGCATGTTACTAATCAAAAATAAAATGTTTAGATGTTTACAGTAGGAAATGTACAAAATATCTTCATGGAACAGGATCTTTACTTGATATCCTAATGATTTTTGGCATAAAAGAAAAGTGTATCATTTCGACCCATACAATGTATTGTTGGCTATTGCTACAAATATACCTGTGTGACTTATGACTGGTTTTGTGGTCCAGGGTCACATTTAATAAGTTTCAAATGGCAAAGTGTTCTGAAATGTCCATTATATGTTGATGTGCAGATAGTGCTGTGTGACCTCATGAACAGAGGGTTTCCCGAGTTGCCATTGATCTATCCTGATGCAGATATCAATGGCTATATGGTGAGTACTCGTTTTGTCACTACCTACAAGCCTCTAAGTTTTCTCTTAAAAATGTACAATGTTTCATTTAGCATGGTTTGATGTAAAGGAATTATACCAAATGACTAGAATAGCACAGTATGATGTAAACTTTTCTTTTTGGGAATATTCACTGACTACAGAAAAGGTATGTGTGTTTATGATCTGTGAGCATTGAAACGAGCATATGCATGTATGTGCTTTCAGAGCTCTGCAGGACTGTTAATGAAGAGCTTGGACAGAGACATGTTTGACGCAGAGCCGATGAAAGAGCTGAGTGGCAGGAGACCTCTTCTTAGCACAGACTTCCAGGGACAGAAAGTAGTCCTGAAGGTCGGTTATAGCCCAGAATATTTATTTGCTTTGCTTTAGTCATCGTACAGTGAGAATATATGTACACTACAAGCCACGTGAGGACACACATACTCATTTATTTTTATATTCCAAATTTCTAAAACAAAGAAAAAGGAAGGAAGAAATTGAATATAAAACATATACATGACCATTCAAAGGTTTGGGTTGGTAAAACCTTGTTTTCTTAAGGTTACAAAGGCTGCATTTATTTGACAGAATACACTAATATTGTTACATTTTATTACCATTTAAAATATCTGCTATGTGAAAGCTGAATTTTCATCCAGGTTTCATTGTCACATGATCATTCAGAAAGCATTGCATAGGCTAATTTAGTACTCGATGATCTATTTTAACAGTTTTTGCTGCTTAATATTTTGTGGAAACCGTGATACATTTTTTTCCAGGATATATTGTTAGATATTGTATATCTTGTTGCTGTACATTGCTGAATGTTTCTAAAAGAGTTGAGGGTTGTTTGCAGTGCTATGCTGTGGATGAAGAGTCCGAGGCGAAGATGATTGAACAATCTGCCTACTATCACAGAGCTCAGCAGCAGAATCCCGCCACAACTGTTCCTCTCCTGGCTACTAGATTCTCACTACCTATTTTACTGATGTTACAGGCTCTGTACCAGTGCATGCATAACATGTCTTCTGTTTTCTCCAGTCTGATCCACTGGCATACATCATGGTACCACACTACTCTAATGGAAGTCTCGAGGCCATTCAGAAATCCTCCCCACTGTCCTCTTCTGTAAGTGCAAATGTATTTGTCTGCACTGTAGACAAGTGGTGAAGTTTGTCAGATTGACAGAAAATTCTTGAAAAACATGTTTTATTTTTTACTTAGACAAAAATGTATAGATTTTATTATCAAGCATTAATAGCCATAACAGCCAGATTTGTAAACCTTTTTTTAACGCATCAAGGTATTTTTTTGTCCTCTGGTTTGTTGTTGCCACATAGGAGATTAGGAAGGCGATGAAGGGCGTATCTCTGGGACTCCAGAATCTTCATGCAGCATCTCTTACTCATGCATCTCTGCATCCAAACAATGTGTTTGCCATCGGCCGAGAAAAAGGCATTGTTGGAGATTATGATTTCACAAAGACACCTGTAAGTGTAAAAAACAAACAAAAAAACAGCAAATTCCGTGAAGTTATGGATTCATGTACTTTTTGGGCAGAAAAAAATAAATGTAAGCAGACCTGGTCTTGATTATGAAATTTTAGAAATGAGTTTTTATATGATTATTTGTTTCTTATAGGAGCAGAGAGTGTCTGACAGCGGGATGGTGGCTGGTTCCATACGTCTGGTGGCTCCAGAGTTGAAGCAGGGTCAGCTGCCTTCCCCAGCCAGCGATATGTATGCCTTTGGAGGCATCATGCTCTGGGTAGAACTGCTACTTGCTTGCTTGCTTACACTACCATTTAAAAGTCTGGAATAATATATATATATGTGTGTGTGTGTGTGTGGGTCAAAGACGTTAAGATGTTCGCATCAAAAGAAATGTACAAAAGTGATTATATGTCCATAGAAAGCACATTAAATGGAAGTAAAGTGTCTACTTTTAAGGTTTCAAATAAGTTTTTGTTTCAAATAAATGTTAAAATTTGGTTATAATAATGTTACATTGTCATTCAGTGTAACACAATATTTATGTAAAAATTCAAACAACATGCTTATTCTGACTTGTACATATTAAAATATATAAAAGAATAAGGGAGCATATTAAATTTGATTGTGTTTTAAATGAGTACAAATTCTTACTGACAAATGGGCAAAACCTAGGATAGTGGCAAATTTTAAAAATGTAAAATTACAACTAATTAGTATTTGGGGTGAAAGTAATTAGTCTTTTAATATGTCACAAATTGATTTTTGTTGTAAATATGCCTGACAAGAATGTTACACTGAATGACATTTTAGTGGGTCTCTTCTGTAAATCAGGGAAAAATGTATGATATTTATTTTTTGCTCAAAAAAACAAAATTGCAATTAAATTAAACAGAAAACTTTTAAAAAATTTTTAATATGCCTGACAAGAATGTTACACTGAATGACATTTTAGTGGGTGTCTTCTGTAAATCAGGGAAAAATGTATGGTATTTATTTTTTGCTCGGAAAAACAAAATTGCAATTAAATTAAACAGAAAACTTTTACAATTTTGGGGGGAAAAACAACAACAATTTACAAAAAGCAGTATTACACTTATTGTTTTTGTGCTTAAACCCTTTTTCGTCTTTGACCCATGTTTAAAATACAAACAAAAACAGTAATATTGTGAAATATTGTTACAATTTAGACTGTTTTCTAATGGAATATATTTTAAAAAGTACTTTATTCCTGTGATGACAGCTGAATTTTCAGCATCATTACTTCAGTCTTCAGTGTCACATGATCCTTCAGAAATCATTCTAATATGCTGATTTGCTGCTTAATTATTAATAATTGTTCTTATTATTATCAATATTAAAAACAGTTGCTGCTGCTTAATATTTTTGTGGAAATCATGATACATTTATTTCAGGAGTCTTGAAAAAAATGGATAAATAGAAAGATAAAAAGAACAGCCTATAGTTGAATTACAAATCTTTTCATTCATTATTAGAAATGTCGTCTTTACTGTCACTTTTGATTTAGAGTGGATTCAGCTTTGCCATCACATGAATAAATTACATTTTTAAAATATATTCAAAGCGAAAATTATTCTTTTAAATTGTAATAGTATTTCACAGTTATTACAATTATTTCTGATCAAATAAATGCAGACGTGGTGAGCATACAAACTCTTAATTATTTCAAACTTTTGACCTGTAGTGTACTTACTTATTTACCATTTTTATATTTTCTGAAATAAAATGAATATGACTACAATTTTCTAGTATATAAAATATAGTAGAAAACTACATTGTATATAAATGTGTAATTATATTAAAAAATCTTGTCAGTAAAGGAGACTTGTTCGTTCACAGCTGCATGTTGCAGACTTCAGCAGAACTCTAGAGAGAGAGCGTCAAAATGTAGAGTTCTCTGGTTTGGGTCTGGTATTGTAGAACATAAGAGCTGATGAATATTATTTTCAAATTATTACTCCAAAATGATTCAAACATCTATCTCTGACAGGATGCCTTTTTCTTTATAATTTTCTTCTAAGAAAAAAGAAACCCAGAGGTGTTTGTTTATTCATTCCTCAAACCTTGTTTCGTGTTCCTGGAATAAATAAAAATATGTTTATGAAGGCAGAAAAAAGTGAAAATCTTTGGGTCAATACAGAAGATGATGTGCATTTTCTTTTTGTAAGATGCTTGGTTTTTCCAGCCCAGATCCACGTAATGTGAAAGGTTTTCAGCTGTAGTCTCAGTCAGTGACAAGACCTTTCTTTAAAATTGCCCCATTCGAAAATTGTCTTTGTTCTTTTTTTTTTTTTCATCTTCATCAAAACATGACTCAAAAATGGAGTGCAGAAAAATGCTGAATGGGTGTACAGAGTTTGGCATGCTTGTGAATCTTCATAGAAATTATGAGTGTATAGTAACTTTCTGTGTCCTCAATAAATTAGTGAGAAAATAACACATTTTGATTCGTTTTTTGGACACACGCACCCTTTACATGCAATCTCTGTGATTATTGACCTTGGATCCTTGGATAGGTCACCTGGTTTTTCCATTGTTGTTGGTACTCCATTAACCACTCTTCTTTTTTTTTTTTTTTTTTTTAACGACTGCCTAAAATGAAATGATGATAACGCGAATGCATCAGTCCATTGATGAAAGGTACTATTTATGCCACTTAGGAAGAAGCTCGTCAGGCTGAGATCTTAAGTGTTATGCAACAATGGCTTTCACTTATTGGAAATCAGACTACAGAGCCATTCGACATTGCTGCTATCTGTCGGGATGAGAGATTGGATGACCCAAGGTCATTTACTACAATATAGCACTATATAATATAAGGCTTTAACATTTTCTTTTGAAGAGAGAATTGTGACATACAGTGGATTCAATAAGTATTCAGACCCCTTCATTTTCATGTTTTACTAAGTCTTGCTAAAATGCTTCAAATACTTAAGAAGTAGTGGAGAGCGGGGCACAAAGTAACACTTTTTGACTTTCTCAAATTGTGTAAATCCACATGGGGTTCAGAGTATAATTTAATTATAATTTCACACGTCTTGTACAAATATGTCGCTTTGTTTCATAGTTACAGTTTATACGTTTTTCTTTATTTACCCTCAAAAATTGGAAGTGAAATGTGACAACATGCCCCATACATTGTAACATCTGAGGGGCACGTTGTAACATGATCATATGACAGCTTAAAATGTTATCTGATCTAATGAAAAAAAATATACAAGACAAACTAAAATATTTTGTCAATAAAATAAAATAATTATTTATTTCAAATAAAATAATGGCGTTTTTTAAGAATTAAAAATAATCTGATTTTGGAGTTTGACAATGAACACATTGCAACCATGCTTGGGACGGCCCACATAAACGAGCAAAAATGCTTTACATGTCTTGAAATAATAATTTCTTAACATTAAACATTGACTGTCAGTCTTTATTCACCTGTTTCTCGTCGTTTATCATTATCTTTATTCGCCTGTTTCTCGTCGTTTATCATTAACATTTACTAAAGTAAATAGTGTGAATTACATCGCTAATGTCATAGAATAGCACATTGTAACGCAGTGTTACAACGGGCCCCATCTGCGCAACTGGAATTTAAAACCGGATACTGTCTTATGATAGTTAGCGAAGCATTAAAAAATAATTTAAACTGATAAATAACAGATTGGAGATTAAAATAATAGCAGATTTGTCTCATTTTAAATGAATAATAAAAACTGAGACGAAAAATGTACTTAAGCCAGAATTTTAATTTTACTATGGTAAAATAAATATTCAAACCACGTGTGTTACAACTAACACCCCGTTACTTTGTGCATCGCACTCATCGCAAGTTTATTGTTAAATTGTTAAATGCCCTTACATATCTCTGTCACCATTATAAGTGTTTGATCACCACATTTGAGTGATCATTGCAAAAAATGTGTTTATGTATATATATTCTGTTTATGTATATACTGTATTCTATATATAGTACCAGTCAAATGTTTGGACACACGAATGGGAAAGTGTCCAAACTTTTGACTGGTACTGTACTATATGATAGTTAGCGAAGCATTAAAAAATAATTTAAACTGATAAATAACAGATTGGAGATTAAAATAATAGCAGATTTGTCCCATTTTAAATGAGTAATAAAAACTGAGATGAAAAGTTTACTTAAGCCAGAAATATAATTTTACTATGGTAAAATACATTTTCAGCAATATCTTCAAAATACTTTTGAATTTTGGCGCACTTTTTTTCTCTATATAATGTTGATATGGTAACTAGTAGATGCTGTAAATTTGGTTATGCCAGCATGTGTGGAAATATTTAAACCACGCGTGTTACAACTTACCCCGCGTTACTTTGTGCCCCGCGCTCCCCTATTCAGATACATAAAGGAATAGTTCATTGGTAAATGAAAATTGTCATGTAATTGTCATGCCTACTCTAATGTTGTTCCAAACTCGTATAACTGAATCATGTTCTGGAACATAAAATAAAATATTAAAAGAAATGTCTCAATGTTTTGTTTTGGGGTTTTCTTTACCAGCATTCTTCAAAATATCTTATTTTGTGTTTAGCAGAAGAAAGAAAATCTCATAACAGGTTTGGAACTACATGAGGGTGAGTAAATTCTTAATATGTTATTTATTTTTTTGCGAACTATCCATTTAACTTAGTACTTGGTTTTAAAGCACATTTGGCAACGATTAAAGTGAGATGATGCGAAAAGTCTGAATAACCTACTTGTTAGTAGGCCTAGTTGCATTCAGGGCGTTTGAGAGTTTTTCCCTGCAAAGCTGTCGAATAGTTTGCATATTGTCTTAAGAGTATAGCTCTCTTAGACATTGTGTAACAATGAGGACACGCCTTCTTGTCGTTCTTGAGACGTTCTCCAGATATAAAACACGAGCAATCGCCTTCAGTCCGTCAGAACATCTGAGGTCAAAGAGAGCTGTGCTGTCAATCAAGCCCTCACACGAAATAAGTCAGTCATCAGAGGCAGGTAAGCTAAAAAAATCTTTTTTGTTTTATATCAATCGTATGTTGGTTGTTACTCTCAAAAGTAAGATACAGTTGTGACAGAGAGCAAGGGCTAGCTGTAAGTTTTAAGTCAAAAGTGTAATTAGCAGTGGTTTTATAGGCTGTATAGGTTTTAAACACCTAGTTCAAAACCCTCTTAAATAATTCTTTATTATGTCTAAGGTAAAATTGTATTATACACTATTAAAAATGTCAATATTATCATCATCGTATTTTGCTGTAGGTAAATAAGTGAATACAATTAAACGCACGCATGGGAAAACTGTGTAATATTACTGTATAATGAAAGAAAATTCGTACAGAAAGATTTAACTGTTCTTAAATCAAGGGCAGGCTAGCTGACCCGTTTTATAAATTGTTTTATACATTAGCCTATACACTTCTTTTTATTTATGAAGTAGCAAAAATGGAAAAAGTAACACAAATCATGAAAAAAAAAATTTTTTAATATAAAAATGATATGTAATTAATATAAATATATTTTCTAAAAACAACATCAAGCTCTTTTTCATGTGTCTTCACAGTTTTTTTTGCCATCCACCAAGTGATATCAGTGGTGACCAGAGAGTGGCAGTGTGCAGCTTTAAACTTTTGCTCTGATACTGTTTTCATTCACTTTGGTCATTATGTTCTGTATTATTTATTATACAGTGTTTGTGAATTAAATGCATTGAAGAAATTAATAATAGTGGCTGTATATTAATTAAATCGCAGATACGTTTTTAACCTTATAAAAGACTAACAACATTTAGAATTCATGAATATATTCTTAGGTTTTGGCTACTTTTCAGATATTACTTGTCTTTTAATATCAACAGAGAACAAAACACTTATTTAAAATACCTTAGGATATATACAATATGATATATGATTACATAAAGGTCAGTGACCATGATATAAAATGTCATCTCTCATAATCACATCTGTATGGTGAAGTTTGTGGGATATCAGCTTTTAGAGTCCCTCAATGCATATATAAAAATTATATATAATTTTTAAAATATGTTTATATACAACATTTATTGCACATAAATGCTTTAATTCTGTTGATGTCGCCCTCTTCTGGACAATAACATTAAAATAGAGGTCACCAACTGAAGATGTACATAGAAGTGTGATCCCATTATTGTGAACAGAATATTTCATGACGATAATGGCTATTGTCCAAACTCCTAGTTCCCTAATAGATTCTTTATAAATGGAATTCTAAATGTACAATTTAAAATGATTTATAAATGTATGTCATAACATTCAACACTGGTGCATGGTCATACACACCCTGAGCAAGTAATAGGGAGGAGAAAATACATAACCGTCTCACATATTTCACAAATGAGTCGCACATGCTATTATATAGTAATCCTACGGAACAGGCCACGGTCAGTGGGCGCGTCCTTTCGCATCCCGTGCCTCTGATTGGTTATTCCACACGGGCGTCAACGAAAGGGGCAGGTCCGAGCGTCTTGACTGACATATAGAGCACTAGAGAGGATAAGTGTCTTGTTCTGTCTTCTTGGGATGTTCATGGGGCTTTAAATTTCTCACCGGGACACAGGTCCACCCAGGGGGGTCAGTGAGGTAAGTATTGAGGACTATGAATGATTTGGGATTGTAGATGCGGGTGTTTGTGTGAACAGGGCTCTACACGTGGCTGTCTATACAGCTGTCTCACACCGGGGACACTTGATTGGAGCGCTAACCAGCTAAATCCAGTTAGCCGTCTAATAATAAACAGCTGATTGCTGCTAGCGCTCCGCGGCTACACTGTTAAAGCTAACTGATGCAGCCAATTCAAGTTATGAATGAAAGAACTGCGAAAACGAACCGGTCGAACGCATAATGTTAACTTTATAACCTAGGAGAAAACGAGTCAGGTTTGTTAAAGCTGTACTAGCTCTGTGAGAGCCACGCGCTGCGCGTTTCCTTGAAGTTGAATGGGCCGCACGTGCGCTTGTTTTGCCATCATAAAAATCTAATGCGTAATGTTACGTACTGTCCAGCGTGACTGGAAACCTTTACAAATGGTAGGTTATATGAACTAGAACAGTATCTGAATAAGACGTGCCACTGCCAGGACAGTCATCTGTGAGCGAGTTGCCTGTAACAATAAGAGCAGGTCACTGGCCTTTGTGGCGTTATAACTCATTTACAACACACAGTACAAGTGCAGATCTGAATTTCATCTATATTTGCGTCTACTTTAGTGAGGCCATTTACGTATATATCTAAATCTCAAATAGGCACCAGCAGCCAAGCATATTTAGCCCTTTAACTGTTTCTCAACCTACTGAATGACCATAGTTTAGTAGCAAATCAAGAGGGAAAAACACTGAATCATGCACCGCTGTGATTTGTCTCGACTCCTAATCACAATTACTTCTATTTTCCACCTTCAAGGAAACCATTGTAGTTATGTTTTTGAATATTACATTTAAGGGAGAGCAGAAACCAAAAAGCAATATTGATGTGTGTATATATATATATATATATATAT